TATCCGAAAAGGTATTTTAGAATTTCTTTTTGAAAATTCCAGTTCGTCATTGAGTGCAAACAGAAGCCAACATCATCACCATCAACACAAAAAGACAAGGAAATATCAACAACAACAACAACAACAACAACAACAACAACAACAACAACAACAGCAACAACACAAAAATACAAGGAAATATCGACAACAACACCACTGACAACACAAAAAAACGACAAGAAAATATCAACAAAAGCATGTACCAACAGCAACAACAACAACAACAACAACAACAACAACAACAACGACGACGACGACGACGACGACAGAAGCAAAACAGAAACAAGAGCAGCCAGATCAAGAGGAAACAACACAGAATAATTATGACGATTGAACACAGCTAAGGATTATACTATCTACTATGAGGAGAGGAGAAGGCACAGACATTTTGGAAACATTTTGATTTTGAGACATTCTACTAGAGATTTTGAGACATTGTGAGGACAATTTGAGAGATTTTGAGGGCATTTTGAGGACATTTTGAGACATTTTGAGGACATTCTGAGACATTTTGAGGACATTTTGAGGACATTTTGAGGACATTTTGAGGACATTCTGAGACATTTTGAGGACATTTTGAGGACATTCTGAGACATTTTGAGACATTTTGAGACATTTTGAGGACATTTTGAGACATTTTGAGGACATTTTGAGGACATTTTGAGACATTTTGCACCAACCTGAACTTCCCCAGATCGGCGGGAGGTAGAAAGCCGTGATATTGTGGAAATCACGTCGATTCTTGATCTTCCCCAGTAGGTCTCCGAGTTGGACAAGTTGAAGAAAAAGAAAAGAAGCTCGAGTGAGAGAGATTCTGTTTGTGTGCGCGCTGAGCTCACTCCTTCTGTGTGTGTGCGCGCTGAGCTCACCCCTTCTGTGTGTGTGTGTGTGTGTGTGTCTCAAACCACCAAGCACAACATACAGGCCTACTACTAAGCTTTCCGAGTACGAAGCTGTCACTCAAGTGGTGCTTAGAAGCTCAACACGCGAGATGTACTGTTGAAACAATCCTTGTTGCACTCACACAGACACACTCGCGCCCTTACATCCTCCACCCCCCTCCCCCCTTCAGACACGCATGCATACATCCTCCTCCGCACCCCCTC